CTCTCTCTCTCTCTCTCTCTCTCTCTCTCTCTCTCTCTCTCTCTCTCTCTCTCTCTCTCTCTCTCTCTCTCTCTCTCGTACTGTTCGCGATTGCTAAGTGAGATCTGTGTTGATTTGTTTACTTTTCTTCTTCTTTTTTTATTTTTGCTTTTGACTCATCAAACAATGTGACCTAAAACTTTGTTGTATTCAGTTTAAAGCCGCAGAGCCGTATGTAACAGTGAGTGGAGTCACTAAGGAGGATGTTGAGAAGCGATTTCTTTTTGTTGAAGGTCTTGGCTCCTACCATTAGGCATCAATAGGTATATAAATCTTCTTTACAAGTATCGCAATTAAAAGTTTTACTGAAACATTTGTATTACTTGATGTATTTTCAACAGCCACTAGAATCAGTGTAGTAAGTTGTGCTTCTTGCGTGAGCACTTGAGCTTTGGATAGATGAACTGACTCTGAGAAATATCAGATAGTGGGTACAACTGCTAAGGAGGTTTACTTTGATCAAAGGTATATTTAGGATTGTATGTTTAAGTGTAACAAATGTTTTATGTACAAAGGGAGAACCTTTTTTATTCTGTGAAGATCCTTAAAAAGACCCAAGGGAGAACTCTTAGTATAGAGAGAACTAGTCTCGCCTGATTAGTTGTGGTAGATGGATTTAGTCGCTTTAGTGATAAGCTTAGTTGTTGCTTAAATGAATGAATCAACTGAAATATTCTCTGCTTATTTCAGATGGTTGCGTAATGATTGGTTATGTCTTGTGATGTTGAAATCTTGAGTTCCTGTCCTGTGCTTGCTTAGTGACTGCTTATGTCAATGATTTTTGCTGCAATATTTGGATTCCATGATTAAAGTGTTTTCTCTTTCAAATCTATTGTGTATTAATCTTTTGATTGTATGTATTTTTTGACTATGCAGCTGCACTTAGAGTGGTATCATACTTGTCTCTGCCTTACTCTGCATTGAACACTTTCTCCATTGTTCCAACTCCTCTGAGAGACTAGACTCGGTGTATGACTATGTGGTCAACCATCGTTATAATGGTTTGGAAAATATAAGGATTGCTTAGTTCTGAAAGACTAAGAGCTGCTTGAGCGGTTTATAGACAGAGATGAACTATTTATAACGAATCTCCATTTCTATTCTTATCTTGAATAATCAAGCAAAAGAAAAATTGTGTTGTTGTTAATATCATATATTCTGGAAGGCTTTCCTAAAGACTTACTACCTCTTCCTAAAATCATGAATTTTCAAAATTTATGGACGGCTTTCCAAAACTATTACACATTCTTCTTGACATCAACATAACAAAGCTGCCTTCTTCAGATTTTTTTGCTCGAAGCTAGAGAGCACAGTGTTAATGTGGCTGAAACGAAAGGTAAAGGAAAGGCAATTGCTAACTCCCCTGCCAAGCCGCCCGAAAACCGGATCAACATAAATGATTAAGCCATGACACCATGGGTTAAACAACTCAGTGGAAGAGAGAACTCCTCACGCGCGCGCCGCCGCCGGGGTGGTTAAGAAATATGTGCACGAGCGTTGTTGTGATACAACACATAGGAATTCTAACCACACACAAGTTCATTTCAAGGGTTTCTTGATGATTTACATGTTTATTACCGATTTGTAGGTGTTGTTTGCTTGATGATTACGTGATATGCACCATATCAGATTTACAGTTTCTTTTGAAAGCACATCTTGAACACGCTAAATGCTTTTCAAATTTCAGAATTATTTCTGAAAGCCCATCCAGAAATTTTCAAATGCCTTCCAAGTTTTTTTATAAAACATGTTTATACAGTTAAGGTTTAAATATATTTATGTGTTCGATACTAACAAATGATTCTCCTCATCCTAGCGGCTAAAACACTACTCTTACATAAAAGTTAGATGCCCCCCAAGTTCGATAACCCTAGGAAGCAGAATTATTTTCTGGAAGAATGCCTTCCAAGTTTTTCTAGAAAACATGTATATACATGTAAGGTTTAAATATATTTATGTGTTCAACACTAACAGATTATTCTCCTCATCCTGGAAGCTAAAACACTACTCTTACATGAATGTAATATGCCCCGCGAGTTTGATACCTTTAGGAAGTAGAATTATTTTCTGGAAGCCCTTCCAGAAATTGCCAAATGCCTTCCAAAACCCACCTTCGGTCCCTTTGGAAACAAAACCTTTTACTGTTTTTAATTAAATATAGATATATTTTTATATCATTTTAATTATAACACTTTGAAAGTATACCTTTGGCATAACATCTGCACACTAGGATTCCCTTTTCTAGAGTTCCCGAGTTAAATTCTGATACTTTCACAGTTAATACCCTTTTTGAAGTAAAGTCTTATGCTTACTCATTTAATTTTCTATAAAATCATCCTAAAAATACCATAAGCTATCCTATATAGGATATGTATGTTTATTATGATAACACATTTTAACACTTTCTTGATAGAATTACTGACAATGCTTCAAGACATCTTAAAATTTCTTTAATAAACAAACGTCGGCATCATTCATTACAAACTTCTTACTTGTCCAAGTCAACATCAAAGTTCAAAAACATAGTCTTATCATGATATGTATTGAATCTCCCATCGTGTTGCTGTCATCCGTAACCAATAAAAAAAATTCAGATTTTTTTAGCATCAAATTTTCTTGAAAGCTATCCTGAAACATTGAAACAGCTTCTGAATTTAGAAAAAAAAAAATTATGGAAAGCTATCCTGAAACATTGAAACACCTTCCTGAATTAAATAGCAACGGTAAATACTACTAAACTGTGGCTAATGTGCGTGGCAATCGACAGCCACGGTTTTGCCACTTCATTTTCGTGGTAGTTACACAACCACGGTTTTGCCACTATATTTTCGTGGCATTCTAACAGCCACGTTTTACTAATTATTTTCGTGGCTTATCTAGGCACGGTTTAGAACTATCATTAGCCATTTTATTTTCGTGGCTTACATAATCACCGGTTTTATAGTGGCTAATTATTTAGCCACTTATTTTTAATTATGTTTTAGTTTTAATTGCTTAATTACAGCTAATTTAAAATGCTTAAATAATAGTAAATAAAAATTAAACCAAAACATGAAATTATATTAATACACTAGTTCTTAAGAGATAAAACATAAACATATATATTACAGACCATTTGAGTTTGAAGTACCAAAATATTAGAGTTTTAAGAACCAAAAGACAAGAGATGAAGAGGCTGAACATCTAAGTGCCATTGGCTTGGGAAGGTTGTGCTGAAGGAGAGACTTCTTGCTGTCTCGGAGCTGCTTGTGGCTGAAGCATTTGGAGGATCTGAATGACTGCAGACCTTGTTGCAGACATATTGTCCTTCATTACTGCCACATCTGCCTTGACAGCACTTACATCAGCATTCACAGTCTGTAAACTCGTCTCCAATCCACTGACATGCAGCTCCAACTCCAGGTTCCGGGATAGAGAAGCTGGGACTCTTGCAGATGGTGCATGTTCCCTATATTGGGCACTGCCGAGTCCATAGACATGCCCCCTCTTACCTGTGGCATTCTGAGATTAAAGGAAAAATGTATTCAGTGTCAAACCACAAAGACTTAATCAAAACACAAAAGATAACAATTATAAACAACAATTAACTGCTATTATAAACATTAAGACTTAATCAAAACACAAAAGACAATAGACAAAAGATTGAAAAAATACCTTAAGATAAGCTTGGTTTAAGATGATGCGAGAAGGAGCTGACGTTGTTGAAGGACTTTGTGGTGATCTTTTAGTGTTAGAGAGCTGTGCGGCTGCTTCCATCTCAGCTTGAGTTACCAGTTCTTCAGCACGGTAGTCCACAAAAGTCCCATCCTTGTGTGTGTGTGTCCTCCTCACAAGGTCTGTGTAGGATGGTGGTTCACCAGTCTCGATCGTCTGCAAAACCAGAGAGAAAATAAAAATCAATTAGGCAAATTTGCAAAATAAAAAAGGCTTCAGAAAATACCATTTTGTATGCTATCCTAGCAAAACCACAAGGGCCTGCATTGTGCTTGTGTTCTCCTTTACCCACAGGGTCAGACTTGCGGCTTTTTGCAGCTTTCTTGCTCTTCTTCTTGGCTGGTTCTGTCGCCCAATGCTCCAAAAGGTAAGTCCAATCCGTGTCATTGATGTACTTTGGCTGCTTATTTTGCCTCGTCTTCTTGCTGATCTTTTCACCAATAGTCGGCCATGTTTCCTTCTTCCAGAGGGCATAGACAAGGTCATTAAACTGAGGCTCCCAATAGAAATTTTGCTACAAAAAGAAACAAAATTGTTAGTTGTTATCGAAGAATATTTTTAATCTGTATTTGAAAATTTTAAAAAACTTACAACAAATGTCTGCCACCATGAATCCCTCCTTTCGTCTGGAACCGACCTCCAACTCTTCCAAGGTCCCATGTAATACCCTTGCCATGTTGCCCGGATGAAGGAGTTGACGCATGGGTCAATAGAAAACCTACACAGAACTCAAACATCAGAGATAAACAACAATCCTAAGCTATCAAACATCAAAGAAAATAACGATCCTAAGCTAACAAATAATCGAGACAGTAATGTTCCTACCTTAACCACTAACCATTTTGACAAACAAATATCAATATATCCTAATCTACCGATATCAATATATCCTAAGCTAACAAACATCAGAGACAACAGACTTACCGTTGAACAAAAAAAAAGAAAAAAGACAACAAACTTACCATAAAGCTCCATTGAGCTTATCTGGATGGAGATGTGGCTGAGACATCCTAGCAGGGGCATTGAACATGGCATTGAGAGACATTTGCGGATAGCTATTTGAGCGAGATGATGAAGCTTGTCCGGTTGCAGCGAATCCAGTGGCACCGGGGGGCATTTGAGGAGGAGACCCAGAATGTGATCTTCGGTTGTCTATCTGCAGTTAAAAGAAGAGAGTAAAAGAGTCATATACTAATGCGAAATCGAAAAACAAATAAACAGAGAAACCCTAAATCCTAAGTGGAAACCCTAAATCGAGTGTATCTAGAAGCCGAAAAAATAACCCTAAATCAATTGTCTTTATGAATTTTTAGAACCCTAAATCGATGTATCTACAACACGAGACTAAGCACTCTAAATCGATGTATCTAAACATGCATGACCACAAAGGGATCTATCAGAAAAAGAAACCCTAAATCGATTATCTATACAACACGAGATTAAAAACCCTAAATCAATTGCCTAAACCCTAGATCGATGGACCTGTAAACTAAACATGCAAGACCCAAAAACAACATAAACGAGAAGACAAATGACTGAATCTTGGAAACCCCCACCCCCACAAATAACCCTAATCTAAACAAAGATCGAGAAAGAGAGAGAGAGTTGGTAACCCTGAGAGAAAGGGTTGGTAACCCTGAGAGAGAGAGATGATCGGAATTGGCGATGAGAGAGAGAGAGAGAGAGTTGATCGGAATCGGCGATGAGAGATCACGACAGAGAATCGTCTAAAGAGAGAGAGAGTTTGTAATTTCGGCTAAGTGTTGAAATGAGAAAGAAGAGACTGATCGAGTGATAACCCTAAGACACAGCCACGGAAAAATAGTGGCTAAACCGTGGTTATATTAAAATTAAACCGCTAATCCGACACTTTAACCAAAACTAATTGGAGCCAAAACCAAAATTTTGGAGCCAACCCGAATTTTTTTCGTCTTGCCACGATAAAACAGTAGCAAAACCGTGGCTATATTAGAAAGAAACCGCGAATCCAATTTAATTAGAGGGAAAACCAAAATTTTGAGCCAAACCGAATTTATTTTCGATCTGCCACGAACATTTAGTAGCAAAACCGTGGCTATTTGCCAAGTAAACCACAAATCAAAATTAATTAGAGCCAAAACCAAATTATTTTGGGGGCAAACCAGTATTATTATATCGAGCCCAAACCAAAGTTCACCAGCCACGAAAAGACAGTGGCCAAATCGTGGCTCTATTATATAAGCGAATCCCTAATCCCTAAAAACTAAAA